GGGAAGGAGGGAGAGGGAGAGGAGGGAGAGGGAGGGAAGGAGGGAGGGAGGGAGGGAGCGAGGGAGCGAGAGAGGTAGGGAGGGAGGGAGCAGGAGCGGGAGCGAGGGAGCGGGCGGGAGCGAGGGAGCGGGAGCGAGAGCGAGGGAGCGGGAGCGAGAGCGAGGGAGCGGGAGGGGGAGCGAGAGCGAGGGAGCGGGAGCGAGAGCGCGAGAGCGCGGGAGCGAGAGCGAGAGAGCGCGAGGGAGCGAGAGAGCGAGAGCGCGAGGGAGAGCGAGAGCGAGAGAGCGAGAGAGCAAGAGAGAGAGAGAGAGAGCGAGAGAGCGAGAGAGCGAGAGAGCGAGAGAGAGAGAGAGTGTGTGTGTGTGTGTGAAATTGTTGGGGAAATTTGAAGTCGGGAAATTGTTCTCAAAACTGGCCGTCGTTTTCATCGTGTCGCAACCAGCAAAGACCTGAGATGCACTAGGACAATTCAAAGGCTCCCAACGCCCTTCGAAGGTGAAGTCCCACTTTTCGCGAAAGTTTGCTTGGAGCCAAAGCATCGGCGTTGGCGGCAAAGTTCTCGTCGGTGCCACTGCCGCCAGACATGTCAGCAGACATAAAAAAGAAGAGGAGAGAGCAGAGCCAAAGCGTGAGAGATGCAGAAGAAAGAGAAAGCCCAATGTCAAAGACGCATATTCGATGTGTCAGTGCACATAGCGATGGAGTAGTGCCAAGCTTCATCTTTGCTCTTTCCTTTCCCAAGGGCGCACTTGTTCAGGCCTTCTCAATGATGAGGTCTCCATGTGGGCTTCACCCTCAATCATCTCATCAATCTCGGCGTCGAAGGGGCTTCTTTACCTGGAAATGGCCAACCATCATCCGCCTCCTGCTGCTCTCCCATTTCCTCCTCATCTTCACCTGGATCTTCCTTCGCTTGGTTTGCTCTCCACGGCTTCTCTTCCATGCCTCTGACTCACCTCTGGCCTCAAGAACATTGAGTCTTCACCTGGACTGACTGTCCATTGGCGCCACATCATCTTGTCCTCGATCTTGATCACGCTTGCCAATGTCAAACTCTCCGTTGACACTCTGTGAACCTATGATGAAGTTGCACGCTCGAGTGACAACAGCTTTTCGCAGATGCCACCCATCATCAACTGCACATGCTGTCTGAGTTTCTGGGGGGGTGACCCTCAACAACACTGAAATCTTCGTTTTCTGCGCAATCTCCTCGCCAGCAACTGAGCGATACTCTTCTGCCAACCTTTCCAATCCGAGCACTTGCTCAAGGATCCCAACTCCCTTATCTCTTGTAAGTGCGCAATGTGACAAGTACGCTTGCAACATTGCAATGGATCTGGTTCATGTCTTTGGCGTGAGCTGTCCTGACAACGGCCTTCTCAGCCTCATCCGGATCTTTCTCCCAGCCTTTGTCCGCAAAGGTCAACCAGTCAGCCTCCAACCCTGCCACATCGTGATCTCCTGCTCTTGATTGCTTGGCGCAAAAGGATCTAGCTGCTTCAGCACCGAAGCCGGCTCCTTTTCCCTTCTCTCTTTCTTCGCCACAGTCACCACGAGTGCAGATTGCCTCAAGCTTTCGACCAAAGCCTGGAGAGCTTCGACATCACCTTTCTTCACTTTTGTTTCTTCTCTTTCCTTTTCATCTTCTTCTTCTCTTTTCTTCGTTCCACCTCAAAGGTCCGCTGACCTTCTCCCTGGGGTATCTTTATTGAGCCCGCCAGGCGGCTCCACCACCATGAAAACTCTCACGGGCGCGCTGAACCCCTTTTTCACATGCTCAGTCTTGAGCCTAGTTAAAGGCGGTATTGAACAGTCATGAACTGACATGTGAGATGGATGACAGTCTTACAATGCTTTGGCTAGGTGCTAGCTGTATAGCGTCGTCCAAAAGAGATTATTGTATCCTTCCTTGTCATTTTACAGTCAATGGGGCATGCTTGTGGCAAAGCGGGGCGGGTAGTTTCTAGACTCTGTCGTGTTGGCCGTGGAGGGCGCTTTCAAGTAGGCTCGGCCACTCAAAAGAAGTTGCATGATAGAACTGATTGTGGTTTGGCTTTATTAGCTTGCCTTTCCAGGTTGGGACTTGCTGACTCGACTGGCTACTGGCTCAAAAAACAGGACATCCTGCCCCACCAACGAATGAACTGGCAAGTGGCTCTGTGGACAGTATCTTCTGCCAAACATACAACCAGCACAGCTATGGATCGTTCATCCAAAGTCTCGCAAAAAGAAACCACTTTTGTCACTAAAAAATGATGTTCAGAGCCTCTCCTTCCTTGCAATTTGGGGAGGTCTGCGCACAGGAAGCTTTAGCCGTGTGACCCAAAATTGCTGGTGCCGGCTAAGTAGAATTGTTGGAATAAAAAAGCCACATCCCATCATGCACAGCCACTCGCTACCGAAAGGTTCCTCTTCAGTTGATCTTTCGTGCAGAGCTCTAGAGGCCTTGAGAATCGTTTGAGTGTCTTTGTCGGGACATTCTCGCACCAGCCGCCACAAAATCCCGAATGCGGTTTCATGAATCAAGCTTTAGCATTCTGGCAACTTTGCAGGGGTCCACGCTGTCACCAAGTTTGACTTTAGCCGCGTTCTCAGACCGGGAAAAAAGCACGGACATGTCGCTGTGCATTAGCGCGCTCCTACTCAGCTCAAACCATTTTGACAACGGCGTCCCAAATGGTACGTACACGATGTCTTTTGTCAACAGTAACTACCCCTGTGTTGCACTGAATCCCAGAGTGACATGAATGTCCTTTGCCACATCCAGGAACATGTGGGTCTCTGTGGCCACCAGGGGAGAGGCTGTTTTTGCGCTGGCACGAGTGCAGCCGTTGATGGAGAATGGGTAGGTCACATGCACCACCCTGGGCGACCGCGTCTGTCTGGTTTTTGGAGCTAGTAATTCTGACAGATTTGATTCAACTGGAACATGCATTCTTCTCCTCAACAGAATACGCTCCTAGGTCCCAAATGATGAGTTGCCTGTGCTCCAAGAAGTATCTCTCTGGCATCGAGACCAAAGACAAACGCTGAAGGCTGGCATCTCCAACTTGAATACATCTTTGACACCTGAGAAACCCTATCTGACTCTTAACAAAAAACTAAGAAACAACTCAGCTGCTGGAAAACTTCTGAACTGAGTTTCGCGCGTAAAATTGAACAAATACTGCCAAGGACCCTGTTCGCCAATCCACTCACCGCTCACACACGTAAAGACCGCCTCACTTTCACGAGGGCCTTCCCATTGAAGTCCATGTTGCAGTCTGGCAAACATCCTGGAGGTGTCGTTGCATCCCACGGAGATCTGCGAAGCAGGAGGAAAGATCTCAGGAAGAGGAATCTTACTCATGCCAACTCCAGCAAATGAGCGTCCATCAGGGCTTGTAGTGTTGATGTACTGGCAGCGCATGCAAGGGCCATCAGCCTTTCCAAGAAGAAGCTGCATGGTATCACAAAGCTCAAACTGCTTTTGGAACAGGCAAGGCGGTAGGTTTGAAGGTGTAAAGCTCAACATGCTTCGGCGCTTGATTTCTTGCCAACATCTGTGCGGATTTGCGATGTGGCAAAAAGATCCCTCCTGAGGGACCATTCCATACAACTCGTTCACAACCTGTAGGCCCACGTCTTGTATGTCGTCGCAACTCTGGAGCAAGGTACAAGTCTCTGAGGTCTTTCCGAACAAGTAGAATTTGCATTCTGGGTTGGAAGAGCATGCCTTGTGACAGTCGTCCAAGTCGAGGTGGAAGAACTGTCCCACGGAGGCCTAAGTGCAACATACCAAGGGTTCTGTTTCTCGCCATTCCTGAGGACCTCACCATCACATTATGGAACTAGTAACTAGTACATATTAAGTGCATGCTCTGTCTCAGTAAGTGTTCAAAGAGCTTTTGACTCGTGACACCAATTCAACAGGCACAGACTTTCAAGCCCCGCTCCTATCCCAAGATGCATTTATAATCTATATATCAGAATGCATGGCAGTCCATTGCACTCCCGGGGCCCTCGCCGTCTCTTCACAGGCGTAAGGCCCAGAGAACACGCGCTGAGCAGGAACCTCAAAACGAAACGCCATAACCCCATCCACAAGACTAACAAGACCACACTAGAAGGAATATGGGGTAATCAATCCTGCGTGCTCTTGAGCTCTTGAACAATGATTTGCGGCATCAGAACGAGCCAAGAAACTGTACCATTGTTGAAGGAGCCCGTTGCATTGCGGGGAACCGCCGCATTGGATGCATGATCCACTGGCTCTACATTGGCATAAGCTTCCCCGAAGCACTCACAGGGATGCAATGAATAGATGCCAGGCGTCTCAACCGTGCCAAACTCCAAGTCGCCCAATGGTTTTGAGCATGATGGCACTGACAAAGCCAAGGTTCCTCCTTGCACGGCAGGCTGACTGGCAGCTTTGGCTAGACTTAGTTCTGGTGGGAGTAGCTGCAGTTCAAAGGCGGCCTGGCCAGTTTTGAAGGCGTTGCCAACCACATCCGTGTCAGCGCAAGCCATGGCATTCCCAAAGAATTCAGGTGCATTGACGGACTCTGCATCCTCATAGTCAGAAGAATTGATGTGTAGGAACAACCAGTTTGACCTGAATTGGGCATGTTTCATTTGACTCATTGGCTGGCACTGTTGATGGGAAGAAAGGTAAGCCGCTTGCAAGTGAGTTTTCAAATGATCTCGGCAAGAGACCCCAAACCGTGTTGAATAGAATAAACCAGGGGTTGATAGACGAATTTCCGCACTTAGTCACAGGGTTTGCAGTTCACACTCCACTGTGAAATGGATGTGGGAACGGAAATGTTCAACACCGTTGCAAGTGACTGCGGAAGGCTGCGGTGATTCAGCTGCAGAAAGCGGCGGGGGTGGTTTTGGGGAATATCGTGGAAGGACCATGAAAGTAAAAACCAAGACGTGGACAGCTTGATCAACAGTTGTGTTGCAGGTACACGGTCAGACGTCTCTGACCGCATCCCATGGCGTCACTAGCTTCGTTGGCCAGCGTGGTGATGTCACGCGCTGGCCCCCCTGCGAGGACTTGTGGGAAAAATTAATCGAAAGGACAGCTCCTAGATACTGAGCACATGTATGACAGCAAACGACAAATCGGAGCACCTATATGAAAGAAAATACACATATGTGAGCAAACACATGAAAATGCACATATGACACCACAGGAGGGAACCCACACATGAGAGGAAACACAAAAGAGCCGAGATGCGAAAACACACACATGACAACATACATATGAGGGCGTCAATATGAGAGCGCAGGTATGAGCAGCCCACTAAGAGCACACCTGAGCGAACACGCTTGGGAACAAACACAAAATATAAGAGCTACGAATCGAGGTTCGCACCGCGCTGTGCCTGCCCCAGAAATTTCTCTTCAAGCTGCACAAGCGCTGCGCCTGCTATGTGTGTGGAATATGAATAACTGCAAACCCTGTGACTAAGTGTGTATCGCTGTGTCCTCCCACTGGGTACACATTGTGATCCTCTCGCAAGAGAGGCGCTGAAACCACCGTGGATCACTTTTTGACTTAGCGTTTTTTCACTCGTGGATCAAGTTACTGACTCGATGTCTCACCCATGAGTCGTCTGATCACAAAGCGGCCGCGCTCACAGGATTTGATCCGCAGACGTCCAGCTTCAAATAATTTCCACGTACCTTTCATGCAAGTGTCCACGCTTCAGCTTTTAAGCAAGTGCTTCATGTGCCAGAGTGCAAATGTCTCACCCTTTTCAGCTTTCCACTTCAGATTTCACATGTTAATTTTCAACCTGTACTTGAGGCCGAGGGTAGGTGACGAAAGCTAGCAAGGGTGCATCCGGACTGGTGGGACATCAAGCGGAGTGAGGCAAATGCTCATGAGGTAAAACGTTGTGAACATGTAAGACACACAAACAGCAATGACACAGCCAACCTTAGAATTGAAGTCCCCGATAATTAAGGAAGCGTGGCTGGACTTTGCCACACTGTTCGATGCGTCCGATGTGTTCACGAACCTGTGAGCTTGTTGAATCTGTTGCACCGTATCCCAAAACCTCCACGGAGGAGTTGAACCAGTGTGGATGCCATAAGAGGTGCCCAAGAGGTGTCCCAGAGGCAAAACAAAGCTGCTTGCATGATTTGGTTGGTTTCTTCTATCGATGTCGATGTCATGAACGTGTGAGCTTGTTGAATCTGTTGCACCGTATCCCGGAGGAGTTAAGCCAAAGTGGACGCCATAAGAGATGCCCGAGAGGTGTCCCAGAGGCGTCCGAGGGGGGAGGTGAACCCACGGGGGGGGGGGAGGGGGGATACATATGAAGTTTTCGCGTGATTCGGCGATCCCGAGGATTCCAGCCCCTCACTTGCTAAAGCAAAGACAACTCCATCGCCAAAGGGCATTCCACCACTGAGTGTCGACGGTTTTTGAGCGAGGGGGTGCCGCGAAGCGGCCCGTTGTGTGTGTGTGTTACCCTCCGTATCTAGAAGCTGTCCTTTCGATTAATTTTTCCCACAAGTCCTCGCAGGGGGCCAGCGCATGACATCACGACGCTGGCCAACAAAGCTAGTGATGTCATGGGATGCAGTCAGAGACGTCTGACCGTGTACCTGCAATACAACTGTTGATCACGCTGTCCACGTCCTGGTTTTTACTTTCATGGTCCTTCCACGATATTCACCAAAACCACCCCCGCCGCTTTGTGCAGCTGAATCACCGCAGCCTTCCGCAGTCACTTGCATCAGTGTTGAACATTTCAGTTGAGCTGATTCTGCGCCTTTCCGTTCCCATGTAGGCGCCCAACGTGCGCAGCGAGGTTCACAAAGCGCTGCGCCTGCAACGAAATCTGCACATCGCGGCTTACAAAGCGCTGTACCTGCCACGAAATCTGTACTTCGAGGTGAAACAAAAGCTGCGCCTGCCACGAAATCTGAACGACAAAGCACTGCGACTGCCCTGCAAGCTGCACATTGAAGACTCACAGTCGCGCAGGGCGTTCTGCAACAGAAACACTCCCAAGAACAAACTCAAGATGCCAAACGAAGCTTTCGCGCGATAGTTCTCCCGAATCCTGAAAACAAGCCTATGTCCAAAGTTCACGACTGGCTGCACCTGCCATGAAGTCAGAGCGCGCCAGTGACCACCACCAAGTTCAAAGACAGGCGCTGCCTGCCACAAAATCTGCACATCGACATACAAAAGGATTCTCCGCCTTCCACAAAAAGTGACCACCAAGCCCAAAAACGTGCATGGCACCACAAGGAGAGCGCAGTCGAGGAAAGCACCTGCTAAGCACCCTCTTGTGGTGGTAAGTTTACGCAAGCCTGCGCAGTCTCGAGGGGCATGAACGCACCGGAAATAGCAGCAAATTAGGTGCGGATGTGAGCACCCTTGATTATGTGTGACCACACTCTTTGAGGAAACATCAAAAATGATGTGTCGTGATGTTGCTTTATTTTGTTCTGAGGGAAATCCCCCTTGCTGACTTCCCGAGAAAGGCCAAAAGGGACTATGTCAACCTGCCATAATTCGCGGCCCGGTATTTTGGCCAGTGCCGCTTAGAGGCTTTGCACATGATTCAGGGACCCGCTCCACATTCTCTCTTCGACTCAGCAGCAGTTGCCGCTGGGGATTTGTTCCTGGACGCGAATATGAAGCCTTGCCTTTAAAGATGCTCATCACTGAAAACTCCCCTTCGAGATACTGTGCTCCCGGGAGTGTCACATTGAGGGCGGCATCTTGATCTGAGCAATTGTTCAAACGCAACAGCACCTCAGAATGCAAAGCTGACGGCTTGCCGTCACTCACCATGAGTTTGCAGGCGCCATTCTTGTATTGAACTGCTGCGCAATCATCTCGGAGACGGCAGCTTTGCAGGCACAGACTTTGCTGGGCCTTTGGCAATGTGTTCCATCGAAAGGTCCCAGAAATGTTGCTGGGCACCCAACCTTGGAAACACATTGCCCAAGTTGGCGCACAAGACCCAAGTGCCTCACTTCAACCATTGCCGCCAAGAAGCAAACATCGTCCAGCACTCTGATGCTCAAGACAGATACTGGCAGTGCCCGGTCGTACTGGGGGCCTGCGTCGAGTTTAGAGCCACAGACTATTGAGATCCAAACATGTTTTGTGGTTTGAGTTGTAACGTTAGTTTCACATTTTCACAGGTCTCTGTTGCACGGAAAAGTTCCGAGTTGAGCAGCTTGTACCGGAACTGTCAACTCTTAGACCTTAATAGCACATCAACGGCACAGCTCTAGCCAAACTTCTCTATCAGACGAAGCTCCTTGCTCGAGCGAACGTGCCGAGAAGTACTGAGTACTTGCGAGATGCGTTGAGTTGTAGAAGGGGCATATCAACTGATTCAGCTGCCAAGCATACCAGTCATACAAGCGCCAAAGGGCAAACCAGGCCGCAAAAGGATCTGATCGAGACGCCGGGACCGCCGAAATCGACAGTGATAAAGGAAAAACCAGAGAACTCCGGAAGAGGGAAGCGAGAAGCAGAGAGAAGCGAAAAGAAATGGTGAAGCCAAGTCAAGAGAGTGCGGCAACAAAACCATCTGACGGGTTTTTTCGATGTCG